TGAAGTCAGGAACAGCCTAGACTTCTCCGCCTGAACTTTGCCTGGAAGGTTACACATTTTTAAAATTTCAGAGAATATATGAAGGCTTTTAGGCAATTACTGAGGATGGTAAATAAGAAAGACCCTGATCATCCTGTTCAGTTTCTCTGTGTCCTCGTGGATGTGACTAGAGAGCTTCCTTGGGGGGCAGGGGGTGTTGATGATAAACACCGCTTGGCTTTCCAGCTCTGTCATCAGCTACGGGCTGACCTGGGGCCTGTGGCTTGACCTGTACGTGCCTCAGTTACCTCGACTGTAAATGGGGACCATGTCACCCGCCTCTTGGGGCCGATGTGACGATTAAAGGAGAAGACACCCATTCAACAGTATGAGTAAACACCTACTAGGTGCCAGGGATTGTTGTAGATGCTGCGGATACAGCAGCAAACACCGAGTCCCCACCCTCAAGGAACTAAGAGTCTAGTGTGGGAGACCAGATAAGAAATGAATAAACCGGGCACCTGGGTGGCTCAGTTGGTTGAGCGACTGCCTTAGGCTCAGGTCATGATCCTGGAGTCCCTGGATCGAGTCCCGCATCGGGCTCCTTGCTCGGCAGGGGGTCTGCTTCTCCCTCTGATCCTCCCCCCCTCTTATGCTCTCTCTCTCTCTCTATCTCATTCTCTCTCAAATAAATAAATAAAATCTTTAAAAAAAAAAAAAAATGGTGGAAGGACATCCTAAGGCGGGACAGCAAAAGCAAAGGTCCTGAGGCAGAAACCAGCATGCGGTGCTTGAGGACAGAGTGAAGACAGGTGTACCTACAGCCAAGTGGGCAAGGGGACAGTCCAAAATGCTGAATTCAGAGGGATGGGCAAGGGCCAGATCATACAGGCTCCTGGAAGTCATGAAAATAATTAAAAATAGTAATAAAAATAATATAATAGTCATTATTATTACTGCTGCTATAAATAAGACGCCATTTTCCAAAACACCAAGCTTTTCTAACTTAAGAAACACCATGCTGCCCCTCTCCTACTGTTTTTCCACCGCTCTCCAATTTGTCATCCTGCTGGAGTGGAAGCTGCCAATCCCATTTCAGCCGACAGCTATAAAAAGAACGTTGGAGCTGGTGGTGCCGATGACCCAACGTGGGGGCTAAGATTAGCCCAGGAGGCTGTCACCTTGCCTTAATGTGAGAAACAGCTGGGGTTCCCCTTCCTTGGAAAACTTCAGCCCGTTCCACTCCACCCCGCCCCGCTGCCCTTGCCAGCCCAGCTATCCATGGAGATGGGAACGGGGATGCGTTTTGGAAAAACGAAGTTGAGCAACAGGGATTCCCCCTGCAAAAGGCAGTCCCGGGCGGGGAGGCGAGTGCTTGGGGTCAAAAGAGCAGGACCAGCTCCCTGCAAATGCAGGACGAACCCCCTGTCTGTCGGGGCCCCGAGGAGCCAGACAACCCATGAGGGAAGCCCACCACTTCTCTGGGGGTGAGGTGCATCTCTGAGATCCCTGCTTTTCTACTGGCATCAATCCAGAAGCCCCGTTTGCCCAGGATTCCTTAAGCTAGGCACGAAAGGGCTCTGAACGGGTCCTCTCGAACCCGGTGACCCCACCACAAAATCCAAGGGTCTATTTCACCACAAAATGGTTCACATCAGTGGCTCAAAGCAGCTGAAGGGTCTTCAGGCAAATTAACCTGGTTCTGAGCTTCCTCAGAACAGAAGAGCTCACGGTCAAGGGTACAGACTCTTGAGCCAGGCTGCCTGGGGTCGAACCCAGCACCGCCATCGACCAGCTGTGTGATCTTCACTAAGTTACTTAACCTCTGTGTGCTCGGTCTCTCATTAGGAAAGTTAGGAGAAGAGAAACTCTCTGGTAGAATTGTCATGAGGAATCAGATTAGTTAATACATATCAAGTGCTTAGAACAAGGCCTGGCACATAGTTCATTATTATTACTTATTGTTTTTCAGTGTCTCCCTGGTTCCATGAGATAAAATTTTACTCATCTTTGTTCTTCCACAGCCTAAAAATAATGATAACAGTAAAAACTAATGTTTCATGAGCATCTACAATGTGCTAGGATCTAGGCAAAAAGACTCATCTACACCCCCAACTCGTGTTATCGCCTCTTCTCTCAAGAGGAGCAAATCCCCTGTATTTTACAAAAGAGGAAACACTGGTTCAGAGAGGTGACGTAAATTATCCAGGATGCTGAAGCTACTACATGCACATCATGGATTCGCACCCAGGCCTTCTGAGCTCAGAGCCGTGCTTGCAACCGTCAAGTCAATGAGGCCGACGGCCTGAGCAATGAGAATTCTGACCATAGAGATAATAGCGGGGCCACCTGGGTGGCTCAGTCGTCAAGTGTCTGCCTTCGGCTCAGGTCATGATCCCAGGGTCCTGGGTTCGAGCCCCACATTGGGATCCCTGCTCTTCGAGAAGCCTGCTTCTCCCTCTCCCACTCCCCCTGCTTGTGTTCCCTCTCTCGCTGTGTCTCTCTCTGTCAAATGAATAAATAAAATCTTAAAAAAAAAAAAAAAGACAATATCATACATTCAGTGAGCAGTCCCTGGGCCCTAAGTACACACCGCCTATGTGTGCACTCCATTTAACTCGGGGGGCGGGGGTGGAGGGCATTAGTACCTCATTTCACAGAGAGGGAAACTGAGGTCCAGGGAGGTTGGACATGAGGACAGTACTGGGTGTTACCTGTCGGTGAGCCCCCTCACTTCTCCATGCTCAGCTGGCTGCCTCCCATGGGCCCTGGCTTAGAGGAGACAGTCCCCATGGACAGTGACCATCAAAGAGCACAGACAGCCGCTATTATGATTCCTCAGTAATCCCTTAATTATTAATTAATTCCTTAATTACTCCTTCTTCCTTATTACTACACAACTTTTTCAAGTTGAAACAGACTCTGAGTTTTCCTCTACCTGGCACAGGGAAACCTCTCTGTCCTGACCTCGGCCTGCTTATCACAATGTGCCAGCCACATCGGTTTGCTCTCTGATTTACAAAAGCCTAGAAAATTCCTGCAGTAGAGAGTATTTTACACTGTTCCACCATCTGAAAAGTAAGCCTCCCCACAAGATGCTTAAAATTGTGCATGCCTCCATGAAGCCAGAACACCATAGGTAGGCCTTAACCCTAGGAAAGAATACCAAATAGCATTAGTTAATGTATATTGAGCACTATATGCCAAGCAGTTTATAAGTACTTAACATGTAGAAATTCTTAAACCTATGACCACCCAATGAGGTAGGACTGTCATCATCCTCATCATACAGACAAGAAAACTATTGCCCAGAGAGGTTAAGTAACCTGCCCATGGTCACACAGCTAGAAAACAGTGGAGCTGGGTTTTGGCTGAAGAGCATGAGCTCTTATCTAGCTGACAAAAGGGATGTAGAGAATGTTGATCACGGAGTTACTTATAATAGCACAGAGATGGGAGCTGCCAAAGACGTAAAATACTAAAAGGGTAATGCTAACTAAAATACTAGACAAACATATGATAGAATGCAATGCATCCATGTAAATGTCTACATCCCTAACCCCTCACTACACCACCACTGTCCCTCAAACCCACAGTGACTGATCACATACCCTTTAAACCACTCCCAAACCCACCCATCCATCTCCAGCGCCCCACTGCCACAGCCTTCCTTAATGTCATGCCTGGTCACAGAGCCAGCCCACCCCAAGAGGAGGCATTGTGTGAATTGAGAAGAAACACCTCTTCCCCAAGACACCCTGCTTCCTCCTGCCAGCAGCTGTCTTATTAATACACAAATTGATGATGTACCCCATTTGAAAGGTAGTCCCTAGAGGAGGTGCCCTTGTGCAGTGCACAATCCTCACAACTGGACAACCTGCCTATTATAGTCTCCATATCATCCTAAGGACAGTAAACAAACAAATATGAATATCCTCTTAGAATTAACTTACTGAAATCAGGTCTATTAGAGAAAAAAATTGGTCTAGCATCCATAACTACCAAATAATTACGTAACTTGAAATTTAACTTACTTTAGATCATTTTCTTTTTACCATGTCCTCACTGGCAAAAGTTATTAACAGACAGTGTATGGAAGAAAGAATACACATGGCCAATAAACAGAAACATTAAACTGCTCATAGCAAAGGAGTGTGTAGTAAAGAGAAGTACCAATTCAGCAAGTATTTTTTAATTTTTTAAAAAATGGCACTTCTGGGATGGGGTGAAACCATTCCTGACATGGTACTGATGAACGTTTCAATTTGTAGATTTCCGGAAGGTAATTAAAGCTCTCGAAATGACTATCCAAAATCCCACTTTAGGAATAAACACTGAGCACACGACGACAGACACTCATGTATACAAGATTAGTTAATTAATCCTAAAAGTATTAGAAGATTCATTGCAGCACTATTTGTCATAAAATTATAAGTAGCTTATGTTTATTGACCTATGAGAAACCCGGCGCTCTTATAATTACTCAACATGCATTAACCTAGTTGGCCTTCCTGTCAACACTGTGGGGCAAGGATCTTTGTTATTATCATTCCGTACATAAGGAAATGAAGACACAGAAGGGGAGGTAATGTGCCTAAGATCACAGAACAAGCAAGTGGAGAACCTGGCCTCTGCACCCAGGAGACCCAGGGCCAGAGCAAACTTACTTGCCGTGTTGAACGGCCTCCCTTTGATAACAGTAAAAAGTTGCCAAGTTTTGCCTATGTAAAAAAAAAAATAGTTTAAAAAAAATAAAGAGTTTGAGGTGGGGGGTCAACCTCATCATCCAACGAAACAACCCAGGACCAGCTAAGACACATCGTGGTACATTCACCCACCATGAACTGTAGCGACATCAGTTGCTGGAGGTCTGGGAAGCTTCTCGTCGTGAGTAAAAAGAGCAGACTAGAAAGCCCTACCGAACAGAACTGATCCCCCCAATCAGTGCCGTTTGCAAGGAAAAAGGTGGTGCTTTGGTATGGTTCCGGCGGACAATGAAAGAGCTCAAAAAGCCCCCTGACCTGTGGTCTTCTCAGTAAACACGACTTTGGACTCGGCCGTGAAGTTCTGTCCAGTGAGGATCATCTGCTGGCCCCCATACACCAGGCAGCTGTCGATGTCTTGTCTCTCCACCATGGGCAGCTCGTGGGCAGATCGCTGGGCTGAGGGCCAGAGAAAGAGAAGTCACTGGGACGGCAGGAGAAGTCCGTTCAAAAGGGGCTTTCTGCTTTCACGGCGACCAGACACGCTCTGCCCCACCCCCCCTTGTCACCTGTTGTCATGGCAAACATGGAGCCATTGGCCCCGGCAACTGCGGACTCTGGAAATGCCACGTTCCTGCAAAAGTGCCCTAAGTCACTTGGGCTACTTTGCTTCTAACAGCGCGGTTTGTTCTCGTGAATCAAGGGATAGATGCCTGTTCTCTTTATAGGGAGGCAAGGCGAATGAGATTTGATCTTTATTTTATAAAAGGGCAAATCACCTTTTGCATAAGAGTCCCTTTGCCAGAGAGTACTCTCTCCTCGTGCACTGATCTCAACAAGCACGTGAGGGATCATACCTGCTAAACGCTAGGACCCAGCTCCTGCAGGGTTTAGACGTACTCGCTTGGGAATTCACCGGCAATCTTAAACTGGGTATTCGAAACAGCATGATGTTGTCCCATCACCCCTCTGACCTCAATTTCTAGGACACCCCCACCCCCACCCCACTGCCTCGACTCACTGTGTTCCAGCCAATCTTCTAGAATGTTCTCAATGTCTCTCAAACACACCCAGCATACTCCTATCTTTGAGCACTTGCACTTTCTAGTCCCCCTCTCTGGAAAGTTCTTCCTGATTACCTGTGTGGCTCCCCTCCTCACTTCTTGTAGGTTTCTCCTCTGACACCCCCTTCTCTGAGAGGCTTCCTTACCCCTATCCCTCCATCCTCCCACCTTGAGGTTTAAAACAGCAGTCCCTGCCCTGTCTGTGTCTCTCTCTCCTTCTCTCCCCTTTATCTTGCATTATTAGTTCACCTGTCTTTCAAATCTCTCCCCACTAGAAAGTGAGCCCCACGAAGGAGCTTTGTGTACTGCTATAAGCCCAGGGCCAGGAACAGTGCCTCAGATCTAGTAGGGGGTACTCAGGATGGATGGACTGATGCAAGGATTGATGGACGGAGATAGATATGGATATACCTCAATATATCTTAATACATACATATACACACCTATCAATCTCTCTACATATACCTATATCCTCCCCTGTGTCTATGATGAATGAAGATGGAGAAACAGGACAGGCCTATGCTAAGCGCTGAGGCACGATGATCTACTTAAATGCTCATAGCAACTTTTGGAGGAAGGAAGTATTAAAATTATTCACATTTGCCTAGGGAGAAAACTCAAGCTAAGAGAAGTCAGGTCACCCCTTGGCCAAGGGTGTGTGGTGGGACTTAGATTTGAATCCTCAGAAGCTGGTTTGTCCAGTTCCAGAGCCCCATCCCTTGGTCACTCCAGCCAGCCACCGATTTTTCGGGAGGGCAGGCTGCAGGAAAGAGTGAAGACCCTCTCCAGCCACCTTTCCTAGGCAGGGTGAGGAACACGTCCTCGCCAGCGAGAGGGACCCATCTGCTCAGGCCTCGCCTTAGCAGCGTGGGCCGCAGAGGCTGGTCCTCCCCTCGTGAGTCAGCCCCAGCTCCTGGCGTCCCTCCCAAGCCCAAGAACTGGGCCGAGGGCCAGCCCTTTCCGTGCCAGGGGCCCGAGGCCCTCCCCATCCGGGAGCTATGGCAGGCAGCGGCTGCGTGAGGCCTGAGGCCCAAACCTAACCCTTCCCTCCCGGCCGGCCGGCACCTCCAGGTGGCCGAGCAACCCCCTCCATCTCTCCTAAAACCGGCTCCTTCAGGAGCAACCATGCCCTTAGCAACACTTCAGGAGTCCACCATGGACCGGCTAGAGGCTCCCAGACACCTCACCTTGAAAGTGCAACCCAATGACTCACAACAATCCCCTGCCGGTTTCGCCCCATGCCCAGCTCAGCCCAGGGACCAGCCAGCCAGTGTTGTTCCAAAGGGCTGCCAGTTAAGAGTACATAGTAAAAAGGCCTCTCTGCAAAAGCTGCTAATTTCTCCCACATGGGCCGGGTTATTAATCCCTTCTTTCAATATAAGAGTTTTGTATGACTTCCTAATTGAGCTGTCACAAATGGAGATTTACTAGCAGTGAAAACAGCAGTTGCATTGCCTGGAAAAGCAGGTCCTGACTTTTAAGATCTGCCTTTGATGAGTCTGGGGGGCAGCTGGGGGCTTCTGGCTCCAGGAATGGGTGGGGAGGCAGCTGGAGCCATCCCTCCCATTTTGCAGGTGGAAAGCCTGAGTCATCACTGCTGGGTGAGCCAGCCGTGGCCGTGACTCTCAGCACTGGGTGGGAGGCTGGCCCGGACGGCTGCTCTGTGAATCACCGTGCATTGCTGTGAACACAACGGGCTCCTTCCTGGAGCAGCTTCACTGTGTCTCCCTGCAAAGCCTCGCAGTTTTAAGCAACCACCTTTTCCTCCCTCGGTTTAAGCAACAGTTTAAAGAGAGAGAATGAGAGTCCAGCCCAGCTCCCTGTACTTTTGTCTGTTCTCCAGTCCCGAACATGAGGTGAGGGCTGGGAGCATCAGCATCACCGAGAGCTTGTCAGAAATGCAGAGCCTCGGGCCCCACCCCAGACCCACTGAACCCAAGTCTGCAGCGGAACAAGGAATCCACACGGTTGTTATGCACTAGCAAGTCTGAGAGGCACTCTTGGCCCTGAGGGCACATCAGAAGGAGCCAGGAAGTTTAGAGAATACTGACACTCAGGCCCTAATCCTAGAGCAGGGGTTCTCAGCCTGGGTGTGACTGACATGGGGCTGGAACAGCCTTTGATGCGGGGCCATCCTGTGCTCGGTAGGATGTTCAGCAGCATCCCCGGCCTCCACCCACCCCTCCCCTGTGGACAACCAGAATTGCCTCTAGTCATAAAGCTGCATGGTCCCTGGGGAGGAGGGGGCCAAAATCGTCCCTGGTTGAGAACCACAGTTCCAGAGCTTCCGACTTCAATCCTCTGAGGGGAGGATCCCAGCAGAGATTAAAAAATAAAATAAAAAATAACCCCTGGGCGCCTGGGTGGCTCAGTTGGTTAAGCGACTGCCTTCGGCTCAGGTCATGATCCTGGAGTCCCAGGATCGAGTCCCACATCGGGCTCCCTGCTCGGCAGGGAGTCTGCTTCTCCCTCTGACCCTCCTCCCTCTCATGCTCTCTGTCTCTCATTCTCTCTGTCTCAAATAAATAAATAAAATCTTAAAAAAATAATAATAATAACCCCTAAGGATTCCAATGGGCCCCCCCCAGGTATGATCTGCCATACCACCAATTGCAGGATAATGCAGGACCCGGGAGCCAAAGGAGAATTCCCAGTTTACTGCGGCTTGGGCTCTGTATCTGCCCCCTCCCTGCTGTGTGACCCTGAGCAAGTCACTTCACCTCTCTGGATCACAGATGCCTCCTTGGGAAAACACTACCCGTTCCTGCCCTCATGGGTCTGGTATGAGCACCATGAGAGAACATACCGCGTGTAAACACGGGCACGGGCAGTACACACTTGGTGAAATAGCAAATATTGATAACCTAGATATCCATCGATGCATGGATGGACGGACCCATAGAGAAATACGATTCAGCCATGAGAAGGGACGAAGCATGATCCAGGCTACACCATGGATGAACCTTGAACATGTGATGCGGAATGCAAGGAGCCAGACACAAAGGGACAACTCTTCTGGGATCCCTTGGATACAAACTGTTCAGAATGGGTGAATCCATTGAGACAGAAAACAGACAGGTGGTTGCCAGGGTCTGGGGAGTAAGGGCCAAGGAGTATGGGGTTTCTTTTGGGGGGCGATGGACACGCTCTGGAACTAGATGGTGGTGGTGGTGGCAGAGTGTCACGAGCGTCCTCCATGCCATGCAATGGTACACCTTAACGCGGGTCAAATGCCCCATTTTGTTACGTGTATTTTATCACAATAAGAAAAACATCTAATATAAGACAAAAGCTCTCAGCCAGTGCCCGGCACACGGTAACCGTTCAAGAAATGACTCTTTAGCACTGTCAACTTTCAAAATGCCACTTTTTCTTGCTTAGCCCTTTTCAGAACATTTTCTCGTTTGTTGTCTCTTTAAGCCCTTCGGTGACAGCCCTACCGGAGTGCCGAGGAGAAGGCTATTAACACCGCTTTAGAGGCAGAGGAATGGATGCTCGGCACTCAGCACCCTCAAGGGGCGGCCCCAGCGCGGGTGAGCCCTGGGTCCCAGCTCGGGGATCCTCGCATGGGGCTTCTCTAAGCCTGGTTCCCCATCTGGACGCTGCAACGGTTCACAGACCCACCTCACGGGCTATTTCGAGGCTTCCCCGGGAGAACTCACGAAACGTGTATTTGGCTCAGTAAATTTCAGCCAGCAAGGTTAGGGATACTAGACCCTGTAGTTTCTCGAGCCGTTTCCATACGTGAGGCGCAGGCGAGGTGTTGGCTGTCTTAGATTCTGCATCTCACCAAAGCTGTGCGCACCACATCCCACATGTCTACATGTGCTACGGAGCTTGTCACTGTTGTTCTTGGTGGATCCCGAACCAGAAACCAGATTTCTCAACCTCGACGGCCAGAGTTGCTCAAAGGAAGGCTCCCAGGTCACCTGCAGCCCGATTACCTGGTTGGAAGAGGCACTTAATAAAGATGCAGATGCTCAGGCCACACCCTCGATCTCCTGCACCCCGATCTCCTAGTAAGTGCAATGGTGACAACCTTTCTAGGCGACTTGTTACATCTGTTTGAGCGCCAACTTTGACACTTAAGAGACCACCTGAGGACAAGGGGACCTCCTCCAGGGGATGCCCCGGCATCCTCAGAGAGCCCAGAGGTAAAGCAAACAAATCCAATTAGCCTCTGAAAGAGGAACTGAAGAGAGGCAAACAGCAACCAAAATTACCCTCCTGGGGTCCACTTCCTCCTCTCTCTCTCTCTCTCTGATGCAACCTCTCACACCGATGGCTGCTAATTGGAGTGACACCATCCAGGGCCTATGAGAGGTTTCGCAGGAAGCCCGGACGCACGCACCTACCCCCATCAGCCCCCACTGACTCTCATTCGGCCTTTCAACC